AGGCCCCCGAAATCAAAACTCATTATAGGGGGCCTTCCAATCATTGCCCTGATCCTGAATAGGCCGGCCCCAAAACTCATTATAGAGGACCCTTAGGCTAAAGGAGGTCCAACATTAACAAGGATTCACCAAAACAGTGCAGTACGTGCCTGCCTGGAATCTGGAAAGATCTCACAAGTAAAAGCTGACAACCAGGTCATGTAGGGCATCAGCAAGTTTCCAAGCTTTATTCCATTAATTTGTGCAGCAGACGTCGCTCACCAAAAGGCTGAAATTCTGCGTTGGCAAGCGTTAGATCCGTAAACTCTGCACTGCTGACACACTCGTTTTGCTCAGGGGCTAGAACAGGCAAGGAAAGTTCTGAGAGAGGATCATCCTGGGAGTGGAGCACCGCCAGCCACAGATAACTTCCCAGCAAGTGCGCAAACCTGTCAGCCGCAACACTGCCTTAGACTTCAAATTCCCGGAACACCACCCCATTCTCATCCAAGTGCGGCAAATACGTTCCGATGAACGACCAGCAAACGCAATTCGCAAGCTGTATGCTATCCCGCAGTCTGTCCAAGCCACTGGATTGGATCAGATTGGCGCGCGTGCTTCAAGAAAAGCTGCGGGTCACGCAGAAATGATGTCTTCACGTTGAGAATTGCAAGCCCCAAACGACTGCTTTCCTTGTTCCGCTGCAAAAGACATCGTCGTCAGAGCATCTCCATCTTTATCAGCCACCGAAGCAACACCAAGTCTCAAACACCGAGACATAGAGGCCCCTGTTGCACCGCCGCCTCTGAAGTAGTTTTCATTTGGTGTGACAATTCATCCCGCCAAGTGAAAATCTTTCGCTCACCCCAATCTGCACTGACACGCCAGGGTGGAAACGGAGATCCAGCGACTGGAGTGGTACACTCAGATTGCGGCTCGATGGTGTTGGGCGTTTCAAGGATGTAAGTCTCGGCCACAGTATGTTTTCTGCAGCAAGGATATGATTCCAATCGTGTGGAGACATTTGTTGACTGGCATTCGTCAAAACTCATAGTTATGGCATTCCATGCTGGGGCTAGGCGCGTGTACTGCCTCGACATGAAAATCACCATTTCTAGTGGAAATCCTGAAGAAGCGAGAGCAGGATGTCAAGCTGCTCTGAAAACAGCATGAGGAAAACAATTCTTGTAGAGCTTTACCACAGATTTGACCACGAAAAGCCACACCCCCCAAGTGGGACAAGGACGAAGGCGTGTTGAAGGCTGCCGACACCTACTGTGCCCAGAAAGTTTAAGGTCTCTGCTTGGAAGCCGTACACATATATAACATGTATAGAAGGACTTCTTAGTTGACATCATTTTGCTGGGACACAGATGTAGCCATTTAGCTCAAGGAGGGACGGCGGGTAGGCCGGTTGGCCATGACTGCCATCGTGGAGGAGAAGAAAACCAATTTCAACCCGGAGGATGATACTCCCCGGAGGCGGCAACTGGATGGCTCCGAAACTCAAATGGAGAAAGTCCTTTTCAAGGCAGATGAGGACACAGCTTCAGAATACCTGAAGGAGTTGATCAGCTCTTCTGGATTGAAGGATGCCTGGGGCGAAATGGCCAAGAAGTTCCGCTCCGTTCAGGCGCAGCATGCGCAGCTTCTGTCCCTGGCCAGTCGAGATGCGCTGAACCGAGACTTCGTAACGCGGCCTGAGTTCCGGTTGACCGTGCAGGAGGAGCATTACCGACAGCTGCAGGACCACACCAAGCGGCTCGCCACACTGGAGCGGCTTGTGTCCGAAGAACAAGCAGCCCGCTTCCAGCTAACCGAGACTGTCGGAGCGTTGGCGGAACATACGGAGCAGGAGCTCCACGCATTGAAGCCAGAGGTCAAGAAGGCACACGCCTGGCTACAGGCGCTTGACACACGATGCCAGCAACAGAATGTAGCAGTCCTGCAAGCACAGCAAGATCTCCAAGAGCAGCTGAACAGCCGTGAGAAGAAGCTCAGAGAGGAGGCTGGCAAGCTTTCCAAGGCCTTGGAGGGTGAAGTTGTGGAGCGCAAGGTGCTGGGCATCGAAGTGAAGAAGCAGAAAGAGTTCCTGGCAGGCGAAGCCTTTCGAAGGCATATGGAGGATACATGCAACAAAGCCTTGGAAAACTATGTTCACAAGGATGTGATGATGTCAGAGGTACAAAGTGCTACCGAACATATGTGTGAGCCTCTCCGGGTTCTCATCGGGAACTTGGAAAAGCATGTGCATACCTTGGCGCAGGAGCTTAGAATGAAAGACGCATATGTGGAACAGTGTTTAGAGAACGAGGCTACAAAGCTGGCTCACACAGACGAACTCCTGAATGAACGGATCAATGCAGTCATGGACGAACTGCCCGAAAAGGCCACGATTATGACGGTGGACGACCTCAAAGGGAAGCTCCTGTTTCATGTGGAAGCTGGGGCTCTTTTGCATTTTTTGAAGTTAGTCGCAAGGTCCTTCCTGCTGTCAAGTTGGAGAAGCCCTTTGCAGCCCTCAGGGCATTGGGTTATAGGGTCTTTAAGTGTTGTTTGTGCAATGAAGGCGGCAGATAATGCGTGCAGTTAGAGTTATGGCATTTCATCGTTGAACGTAGCAGATCATCAGACCTCCTCCTGCTCCGCCTGCTACGCGCACTCACCAGATACTACCTTCCAACAATGAGAGCGCAGCAGCCAACGTTTGCCTCAGTCACTGCTGCCACCACCACCTGAAGTGTATCTTGCAGCCTCTCCAACCGAGGACACCCTGGAGTCCCTGCACTCCCGGCTCCAGAAGGAGACCACGCACAAGCTCCAGGAAGTTGTGACGCGGGTCTCGGAGTTCCAGGCGATGTTTGCCAAAATCAACTTAATCGGGAAAGGGCTGATGCGTGACTATGGCTATAAGATCCAATCATGGACGCTACTCGTATTCTCTTCGTCACCAAGACAGACCACGTGCGTCTGGATGGTCTCTCATTTGGCCTTTACTTGTTGCAGACCCCCTCCCCCTTGCTCACCCCTCCACGTTTGTGATTAGGCCATCTTGTGTAGTGTGCATACCCCAAAAGTTCATCACGGCCTGATTTCCACAGTTCTCCGATAAGAATTACAAGTAGTAATACGTGAACAAGACACGTGGTGAGGTCATCTTGCAAGACCACGAGCATGCTTTACAGCATGCTGCGGAGGAGATCCTCCACAGGGGCACAAAGCAACACGACCTCTTTATGACTTGCACGGGATTTGCGGGAGGTTGTGGGCTTGCGCTGCGCAGACCTCGCCTGACCAAAGTAAGATCACTGCAAGTACTGGAGTTGACAAGGGCGCCTGGTCAAGCAAGAGCAGAAGCATTGCAAAGGTACGATGTCGCAGTTCTAACTGAACGAGTGGATCGCTGTGCTGGCAAAGACAAAATGGAGGGCGACTTGAAGGAGATCCGTGATACCTTGGCTTGGCAGAGCACAAAGAGCCTTAGACAAACATGTGCCCTTTTGGGCTGAAGGGCTCAGTTGCCAGAAAGCCAAGCCCAAACAATTTGCATAGAGGAATAGCTGCAGTTCTACGATTCTGGACCCTCCGTGAACACAAGCTGGTTCCCGCCGTTCCCGCTACACTTATGGCGTATCGTCCTTGCGAAGATCTTGGGCTGCTGTTTGCCCTGATTTGTTCACAGTTACTTTGGGTGCCGGAACTGCATTTTCCGGATCTGAGGATCGAGTCCATGCAATTTCACAATGGGCTGGGCTCCTTGGTGAACTTCAGATTTGCTAAGGGTCACGAGAGACGAAACAAGTCGGCATGGCTCCGACAATCAAGCAAGTCAGGTCCTGTGTTTTATGTGCGACATCTTCAGAATCTCCGTTTTCATTGTCGTAGGGCCAATCCTATTCTTGGCAGAAACTCGAGGATGTTCAACCTGTTGCCTTTTCCAGTGGCCGGGCCCGTACCGTTTTGACTTCATCCCTGGCTGCCTGCAAGCCTGGGTCACATTGAGCTCCTATCTTATGATATTCTTCAACGAAGCAAGGTCGCTCACTGAAGCCAGGTTTGAGTCAACTTCGTTTGCGATGGCCTCATTTGGCCCTTGAAACGTCGTTCTTTGTGTGTCCCTTGTGGTCATGACAGGTGTGTAGGCCCAGTTCGATCCTGCTACATCATCCCCTATGAAGACCTTGCTTAGGAGGCGGCCTCAGCAATCGCAGTCCAAGCCGAGCAAGATCCTTCCTCCCTCGAAGTGTGCCTCGCCAACTTCAGTCTTTGAGAAGGGGGCAGGGGGAACAGGCTCCGCACAGCTGTGTTTGTCTCGGTAGATTTTCCAACTGGGAATTGCAAAGGGTGGGTATGCTTCTTAAGGTCCTGGATAGTTAAGGACATGCTTACTGCCATGTTCAGGCCACTTGGGGGAGTTCGGGATGAGTGAGCTACGTTCAAAAGCGTTCAGAGGGGCAATGCAGGGCTTCGTGAGGTTAGGTCCTCAACCACTATGACAGTATGGTTATTGTGTTCGTGTACTAGGAGTGAACAGACCTTGCCAAGCGATTAGGTTGCGGTCTAAAGAACTGCTTAGGATTGGGGTTTTGGGTGGAAGGTGGTAAGCATGTGACAATGTATGACCCGGAGTTTGCAGTTTCAGTTTAGAACAGTTTCTTTTTAGAAGTTCTTCTAGGAAATTTATCCATTCTTCTTGTAGATCATGCATGTTACAGGTAGCAGTCCTGATTCGGAGATGGTGTCGTAGCGATGCTAAAGTTTTCAGCACGTGGGCCATATTCAAGGCTTCCTTCATCGAGGTGTGAGGAAGAGGCGGAAGCCTGGTATTCCTTATGTCTGGTTAGCCTGGTTAGGAATGCAGGAACGGAACCTTGTTTCGCATTTGATTTTCCATTACTGGGCCTTATGCCTGTATAACTGTATAACCTGTACAGCGCCTGCAGTGTATAACCCCTTAGTATGACTCTTGTATCGGCGGCCCGCGCATCTTGGGAGCTTTCCCAAGGCCTCTCTGAAACCCCGAAACAAGCCAACAGACCCTGCACGAATCAGCCACAGGCCCGTTTCTCATACTTAGGACTGTAGGGCTGCCCACCCCAGGATGAGGAGGGTTGAGACGTGCTGGGGAGGGATACTGGTAGGCCTGCAATGAGAACTTCATGGCGCAGCACTACTTGTAGCATTGACAGCAGGGCTTAGGTCTTCTTGGGATAGGGATACGCAAGACGTACGTTGCGCATGCAGTGAAATATGGGCACATTGGACCGGACCATCTCAATGACCCTTTATAGTACTGCAGTTCGGCCCCCGAATTGTTCCGAAGCCTCGTCAGACCTTTGTTTTGGTACTTCGCTGGGCAACAGGGAATTTGCTTTTCCTATGCATCATCCTACATCATAAGCAGCCTATATAGGAAATTATCGTCGATTATAATAGAAAGTTATTTTATAGTGAATTATTGTAGATCATAGTATATTATGGGAGGTAATATTCGGATATCTTTCCTTGCAAAGGTCTTAGGCGGCAAGCTCAGTCGCAGCAGCTCGATGGCGAGCGAAAGCTTTGCTGCTGCCGCTCAGCCCAGAGGAGTTTAGGGTTATATATTAGGGTTCTATAGGGCTATACAGGGTTTCGGAATTAGGGTTTAGGGTTTTAGGGGTTTCCCAAACTTAGGGGTACTTTTTTGAGGGGGCCCAGTAATCAGGACTATAGTATCTTTGGATCTATATCGGGGGAAGGGATACTTTGACCAGCGGGGGTTTAGGGCTATATAGGGATTATGGGATCAAATATAGGGATTATATATGGATAATGGAAAGAATTGGAAACTACTAGTTACAAGAAGACCGGGAAGAGTGACAACGATCCGGCATCATTTTACTGTGGCGGCTCCGGTGGCTGCGAGGTTGGGGGGGGGGGGGGCCATCAGCCAATAGCCGCAGCAGCAATTTCGCCAGCAGTGCACATCGCTCGACGCCTAACAACAACGACAGGAATCGCAGTCGCAAAACTATGGCAAACCACAACAATTAGTTCGCTTTTGCAGCCAAAGCAAATACTCGGACTCGGGTAGAAGCAGTATTGTAAGCATTGGTATTTAGGTAGAGAAACCATCATAACTTGTCCCGCGTGCTTACCCTGCCCGTGGCAACTCCTTAAAGTGTGAATCCACAACCCATGTTTGCAGCCTTACGAACGGCTTGTTTGTTTCATTGTTTGTTTCTCCACAGCCCGCGAGGCTGGCATCCTTGCTGCCTGCGGCTTTGAAGTATGCATTGACATGTTATTATCCGTTTCAGGTCATCAACCCTCGAATGCTATCGTTTACTCGAAGTCATTGCTCACGGAGTTTCTTTCAACACCACACCAGTTTATACGACAGCCAGTAAGCAGTAGCTTCAGCGCGCAGAATCACAGGTCACCCACAGTCTGAGCTGGAAGCAGACATCAACGGCAGCACCTGCTTCCACGGAAGCCAGCACTGTGAAGTTTTCAGAGGAGGACAGCAAAGTCCCTCCTATGATTGTTGGCAACGTTTTTTTGTTCTTGCCTGAACTTTTTGTAGGTTAGGTGCTATGGTACCATGCCTGCATGACAGATGGACAAACGGGTCAACACGCTCCTCTCTGCAGTATGCCTCGCAGCTTCTAAGTTAAGCTGGCACTCGCCAAGGATGACGATGCGCAAGACTCCACGGTGAAGATCACCATCCCCAAGGTTCCTTGCGTCGCCGACCCTGCACGGAATTGGTACACATGTTTTTATATTCAAGTGTGCAGCGCCCTTGCCCAGGGCACTTGTTTGTGTGGAGCAGATGGAGGCTAAGTTATGAACTAGAAGGTATGCCCCAGAAGATGCAATGCTAGAAGAAACTAGCCTTGAGATAAGAATGTCGCGGGTAGTTGGCGATCCGATGAGACTATTCGACATGGACCATACCTAAATATCGTGTGAAGATGGCCTCCGCAGTTGTCCTTGACCCTATAAGACTGAAACACAAGGAGCGCATCGAGGAAGAGTCACAGCAAGGAGATAGCCAGCCATCAAAAGATGTGAGCATTGCACCAGGCCGGCTATGTTGTGACTTGCTTGTTGAGGAATTTCATGTTTTCTGCGGACTGTCCACAAAAACGTCGTAGGGTCGTCACCGTCGTTGTCACCTTCGCAGCAGCTGTAGTGGCAGTTGTAGAAGTCTTGTTATTGTTCTGAGTTACGATTGAATCCTACTTTGTATAGGGCAGCCCCCAAAACACAATGGGGTCCCCCTATAATGAGCCCGCTAAAGCAAAGGGCTTGTGGGGGTCTTTCCGGAACGAGTGTTTTTTTTTTGCT